GAACCAATCCTGAGCACAAAAGTGGAGTCCATTAGGATTTAGATAAATTTTCTTATGCGTGATGCTAGTTTTCACACCCCAAACTCAAGGGCCACAACTATCACCTGATGCCAAAAGTTAGGCCTGAGCTGACCCTGCTAAGCCACTTGCTAATGGTGCATGGTAGCCACACACAGGCCCCTTTCCACCGCTCTACAAAGAAAACAACTACTCCTAACAGTTTATATAAAGCAATGATCATCTAGCACAAAAGCCTGTTTTGGCTATCGAGGCCACCATGGTATCTAGAAAAGCATAAATGCTATGTGGGCCGTCAAAGACACCATGTCCTCTATACAGAAGATGGAAACATGTATGTAACTAATCATATGTCAAGCAGTTATCGAACATCAGCCAACCACAAAGCAAGGCCAACATGTCCAATAACGTGGCTATACAACCCAATACGCTAGTCTACAAGCCTATATGAATATAATACTTGGACGGGACAGGGCCCTAGACTACCTAATAACTATAAACAACATAACAAGCAAACCTCTATGACTCTGAAACCCCTCGAAGAAATGACTGGACCAAACAGATGGATAGGCAGTTGTGCTACTTGGCATGTTTGTCTGGTTTCCGCTCAAGACATGCATGCATGAATATAGCGCCCCCGACAAGGGGCTTCAGTACAAAATGATGCACAAAGCATGTGAGGTAAACTGAAAATAAAATATAAGTACTTAACGAAAAGGGCTGGGGTGAAACACAAGTACAATACCTTGTCTCCCCGCAGTAGGACAATATAAACACATAACAAGTAATAACCTAACCAGTCCTCTATAATCCCGACAAGTACAAACATCACACATTCCCTACAAGTCCTAACGAACGCAAACAATCGCTAAATACCCATATTAGCCCCTTACCAGATGCCAATGATAATCTGATCTGAACTGTCTGAATGTACATATGCGATAAATAACTGCAAGTATGAGGCTCTGTGGTACCATACATATATATTGCCCCGTAGGTACATCCTACCCAATAGTTTGAAAGAATTGGAAGATTTTGAGAGAATTAGTTGAATGTTTTTTCTAATAAGTAGTTTTGCAAAGGCTTTTGACAGGTAAAAGGGTTTCAAAATTAGAGGGAAACATATAAAGGGTTGGAGGTGGGGTGGGGGGACTTCGAAAGTAAATTTGCCAACTAGGAAAATGAAATAATTTAATAGAATGTCTTAATTAGTAGATTATATCAATTTTATGATATAACGGTCACTCATCTATTGATAATTATCTAAAGTCGTGTTTTTCTTCTTTTGTAATAAGAAGGTCACTCAAATTTGTTTATAACTCTTTAGAAGTCACCTTATTAATATTTGAACGAGTAGAATATGATATGAAATTATATTTATTTTGTATGGTCTTTTTCTTCTTCTTTTTTTGAATCTACACTCATCAATGACTCAACCTAGCTCTAACTTGTAACTTAAATTAACCATATTCTCTTGGAAAAAATCATGAGGAAAGCTTTAATTTTTGTTATCACCAAAACTTATGGCATAGGTATACATTTTTTTAAATAATATCAATGGATACTTTTACCACATCTATCACTTCTTAATTTCTTATCTTTCGATGTAAGGTGTCCATTTTATTAAACACAATATATTCTATTCTACCGATGCATTTATATGAATCAATATTTTCTCTTTTTAATATAACGTTTAATTAATTTTTATTCATAAAAATAAATACTACTCCTATAAAATTTACAAGTTATTGCAATTTCTTAACTATATGGGTTATGGTTAAGGTTAGATCAGAAATTGGTTTATTGTTACGTGAATTAAAAATAGAAATAAAGTTCTCACTTCTTAATTTCTTATCTTTCGATGTAAGGTGTCCATTTTATTAAACACAATATATTCTATTCTACCGATGCATTTATATGAATCAATATTTTCTCTTTTTAATATAACGTTTAATTAATTTTTATTCATAAAAATAAATACCACCCCTATAAAATTTACAGGTTATTGCAATTTCTTAACTACATGGGTTATGGTTAGGGTTGGATCAAACATTGGTTTATTGTTATGTGAATTAAAAATAGAAATAAAGTTCATGAGAGAAAAATAAAATGCATGCTTATTAATCTTTATAGAAGTGGTAATCATTGTGTAATGACCCAATCCGTCGTACTAAGGGGAACCTCATGTGAAGTCCCAAACGTTCGGTAGTGTCGTGCAAGAAGTTCTAAAAATTGAGCATGACGAATTTTGGCCTAAATTATTTTCTAGGTTGGGCTGACGTCATCTGGTCATAGAGGAAAGTCATTCTCTATGGCGACGCCACTATAGCGGGAGTGAGACGTCAAATAAAATCAACTCATCTTTTATAATCCTCCCACTTTTTTGGAAGGAGGAAATAGATGAGTATTGCTCCAAAAATCCTCCAAAAGCACCCGGGGAAAGGGATAAATGGAGGAGGGACAATTCCGCATAAAGGAGATGTAAAGTCTTCCAATTTTCCCTATCGTTCACCAAACAATGATTGTGTGGAGTCGTATTCTGGGAAAAGATTCACCAGCGGTTGATTGGCACCCAAGTAGACTAGGTTTTCTTCCAATTTGATAGTTAGATCTACTTTTATTGTATCATATCCTGTAAGAATCCAGAGATTTCATGTCTAGGCCTTTGGGCACAAGGTTTGGATGGTTAAATATTGTTGTTATTGCTATTATGAAGGGAACATATATTGACTAGGGGTACTTCTCTAGTGCTTGGTTGTTAATCTTGAATTTCCTTATTGGGATGACTTGGTCTGGATTGTAAGGCTATGTGTTCATGAAATTTTTAGGTTATAGACATTCCGAAACATGTGGTAATAAAGGGAAACCTGTGTGTACTCATAATAGGGCTCAATATTGGGCCATTAATATATAGGTGATGGTTTTGTGCTTCAAGGTTTTGTATATATGCATGTTTATTGCCTATAGTACTGTATTGTGCAATGTATGATAGGAAGCATATAAAATGAATTGGTGATTGTAACTTGTGGGTTCAAGTGGTCTTGTTTATTGTAATATGTGATTATGCATTTTTGATGTACTTGCTTGTTGGATCGGGTACCACGCCAGTACAAGATATTTTTTGTTGGCTTGGATGCCATGCATGGTATTGCTATAAATGGTTGGCTCAGATGTGGTGAATGGGTTAAGTTTCAATTGTATCCTATGAGAGGACCAATATGTGCTAGTAGTTCCATTAGAGGACCCAATATTGTGTTGTGATCATGTGAGTCATGTAGCTAGGTATTATAGATTTAAGTGTTATTATTTCATGTTTTTATGAATGGGTTTGTATTCGAGGTTGTTGTTATATGTGGTTGACCTGTGGTTGTGGTGTTGTGGGTTGTGCATATAAATCCAGGGTGGGACTAGGAGCCCAAGTTAGGTGATACTTGTGATGGTTGAGGGATATTAACTACACACTTGTGGGCTATTTTATACAATAGTTGACTTGCCTAGTGGATTGAGTTTTTGGTGACCCAGTTCTTTAGTGGTCTAAGCCATGGTTCTATTAGTCAGGGTGATCTTGGTTGGTAGGGGTTCCTGGGTTGAGTCTTACCAAGGATGAATTGAGCTTAGGTATCGATTTCGGTTACTATTCTGGCAAAGGCTAGGGATTGTCACTAGTAATAAAAAGAGAGGACTGGTAGCCGATTGGACTAGTGATGGCGTGATAGTCAGTGTATTAATGTGGTAGATGGGTTAAGTTTCCATTGTGTATCAATGAGCTATGATAGGCACACTTGGGAAGCCTTGGGGTGGCATATTTGAGATGCTTAGACATAGTTTTACTAGGGAAGAGATGAGGCAAGGCAATAGAGGAGTGGCATGGTGTAACTTCCTATTGGATGACTTTATCTCTATTTACCTGATATTATGTGGTAGGTTCATATCGACTGATCATGTCTACCATTACATGTTGTTTGTACCGATTCTACTCTTGGTATGCCAGTTGGCAAAGTCTGGTTGCAGGGTCAGTGATGTTTTATAAGTATATATGACGATGATCTCCAGCAGCTTCCATGTTTCTTTTCCTTATGGTGGGAGTTATGTCATATCTTCTTGTATAAATTGTATTCATTTAGTAGCTCTTGTACCTATTTAGACTAGTTCTTTGGGGACGGTTTTTCAGTCATTTCTAAAGACTTTATTTAAAATTGTTGCTCTCATGAAGTTTTAAGGTATTAAATGAATTTCAAAGTATTTTGTTTATTTCCGTATTGCTTGTTTTAACATTGGTTGGTAAGGGTTCTCCTATCTTGGTGTTAGAGTAGGTGCTCACACGACCCGACGAATTGGGTCGTGACGCATTGAGAAGTTTTCTTTCTATATTCTCCAAAATTAATGTTATAAGTTTTTTATTGTGTGTGTGTGTATATATATATATATATTAAACTTGATTGTAAATATATGTAATTAATAAATTTATCTGAACTTCGCGTGGTCAAAGTGATTTTTATTGAATTTACAACATGAACTCTTTTTAAATATCTGATCGTTAAATAAAAATAGAATAAGAGTAAATATCATAAATAAATAAATCTTAATAATCTAAACGTAACTAGTAATAAATATTAATAATCTACACACATAAGTTGAAATAATAAATACTTGAAAAGTTGTATTATTCTACTGCAAACAACTACTACCAAATAAATAACTTATAAGATAAAGTATTCTACTTTCTAATTTCCTTAAATCTTCCATGTGTAAACCATCTGTAGATTAGACGAGTGCTAACAGTCTCCTTTGATTCTCTTGTTGGGTATAGGCTTCGGATATGTATCATTTGACGCATGATTGGATTCACCAACATCAGAAGCATGATTATTTGGAAAGCACGAAGAAGTTGAGGGGATAACCAGATTTAAGAAGGGTTTGTGGATTTGTCTATAATCTGAAAACCACGGAGTGCCTCTCTTGGCATAAAACAAAATGTACGCCTACTCTACCAAAACAAGATCTTGGTGAACCCAATGAACCTATGACAAAATCAAACAAATATCAAGTTAGTTGTCGTAAGCTCAAAACGTATCTAACAAAGTAAGGAAATTTTCCATACCTGCTCGTCATTAAATTTGTACCATTTATTTGGATTACAACGAATGAAGCTGTAATAGTGTCCTGAAGAGAATGAAAACCCCGAATGCACTATAACTGCGTACAGATCGTATTTCATTTCTTCCTGTTGAGAAAAGGAAACAACATCATGTAACTGCTAATAAAAGATAGAATGTACATAAAACTCCAAATGCAAATACTCACATTATTGATTTTGTTGGTGTAATGAAGCATGTCCAATTCCAGCGGAAATGAAACATGCTTGTCCACTTCTTGAACAACAAACCTGTCATTTTTGAATCTCTTCAAACAAAGGGTAGCAACAGAATGGGCACGATCGATGAGGAACTGCTTCTCAAATGGCCCTTGTGTCTTGCACATTTCACAAGAAAACTCAATTTTCTCGATTTTAGTGAAAGACTCCAATGCTTCTGGTACACTGTCAACGTCCACAATCTCCAAGCTTAGGTCTATTAGAGGCTCGTGTGTGACAGATAAATGACAACAATTGCAACAACGAAGCTGTGAATTGAGAAAAATAGACTAACAACATACATTTAATATTTACAAGTAGGGTCTGGAGATGATAGAGTATACACAGACCTTATCCCTTCCTTGAGAGGTAGAGAGGATGTTTATGATAGACCCTCGACTCAAGTAAAAGCATTACGAAGTAGTTCAAAAAACGTAAACAACTAGACTAAAGAAATTAAGATAAAATACAGAGAACAAACATGTAATGCTTACCATGCTCACAAGGCGACCACCAAAGGCCTCCTTCACAATGTTGTCTTGTGGCTCTAAATTGTAACAACAACTTTCAAGCTTATTGAGAAAGCACTGTAAGAATTCATGTGCATCTTCTTGTTGATTCGGACGGAAAGTAGGCGAAAAAACTGATGATTTCCCAAAGTTAAGTAATACAAAGATGTATAAGGTACATAGTTGGCACAGAGGTACAAACCGCAAGTTGACAACCAAACTATAATTAATACTACTATAAAAAATGTATTATTCATTTCACAATTGTCCTCGATGAGTTTTTCTATTTTAAAAACAATTCTATTACTCAAATTATCGTTTATGTACTTCATTGATGAGAATTTTATTATAACCCTTGATGTAAAATTAAAGTAAACTTCAAAAGGAAATAAATAAATGACTAAGGTTAACTATAAGTAGTTTAGAGATGGGAGCATAAGTTCGTGTGAACCCACCCGGTTCCATGTGTGTCTGTGTCTAAGAAGGGGGATATATATCATGTTAAATCAACAAACAAGATATATTAAAACATACCTCTCAAGTGGCTAAAAATATTATTTGGTGTGACATTATTAGAGACACCAGACATAGAAAGGTCAACTATCTCTCGAATCATGCAAACTACGCAGAATCTGGTCAAGAGAGTTGCAACAAGAAATGACATGAATAAGCTAAGGTATAAGAGCCATTAAAATGAATTAAAATAAAGGGAAATTATAAGTTGATACTTACTATCACATGGTGATACATGATCAATCGATGCAAGTAGCTGAAGCAACACCACGATGTGCATAAAACATTGTACAACCGCATTCAAGAAGCATGTGTTGCCTAAGTTACACATGCCAACTCCCTAAAACAAGACAATATTATAAGCACTAGATACAATAACAGTTGATTAAATAGACACAAGAAACACTTCATTTAACTTAAAAGACAAATTATTTAATATCGAAGCGTAACATTCTTAAACATAGTAGAATTAGGATCTTTCTTCAATATGTATATATATCAATACAACAACAAATTCAGTGTAATTCCACAGGGATAGTATGTATGACACACCTCACACATACCTTTTGTGATAGAGAGAGATTGATTAGTAATGTATGACATCTCAATGTCTACCTAATATTAGTTAGCCCCACACTTAAAGGTGGCTATTTTGGAAAATGAAACTTTTATTATAACAGTGGCTAGCAATATTTTCAATTACCGAGCTGAAAATTGGGCCCTATCCTATCTATTTAACTAGATAGTTAATTGATTAAGATGTAATAAATATAGGCTAAAAGTATAAATTGTATCACTTGAAAGAGTTTAAAAAGTTAGCCCATGTTATTTCACTGTAAATTGTGTCACTTAAAAAGAGCTTAAAAGTTTTTCGCCCGCACTATTTCACTACATAGTTGATTGATAAAGATTTCATAATAATAGGCTAAGTTGATTGATAAAGATGTTATAAAAATAAGCTAAAATTGTAAATTGCATCACTTGGAAGAGGTTAAAAGTAGCTAAACCACGCCATTTCACTACATAGTTGAATAAATTAAAAATTGAGATGTCATAAAAAATAGGCTAAATTTTAAATTTTATAGCTTAAAAGAGGTTAAAATTTGGAACCATACAACCATTTTAAAAGGCCTATGCTCAATAGGCATAGTTTCTTCATCTGTCTCTTTGAAATACTCAGTCTCAATAAAAGAAATAGGCACAATAGTTAAAGGAGGCCCTTCGACACAATCTAAATATGAAAGCTCACTACTATTAGAAGAAACAGTATAGCGCATTGACTCAGAATTAGATTCAACACTAATGATCAATGAATCGGGTTCAACCCGAACCGGTGACCATTCATCCACACCTGAATCCCTTTCTTTCGATATTTTTTCAACTTTAATTTTTACTAATGAGAAATCGACATTGTTTTTTATGATTTCTTCAGTTTTCAGAGCTTCACGATCAGGTGAATTTTGTAGATTATCCGCAGTTTCTTTTTCCATTGAGATGTCAATAATAAACAACAAAATTATAGACAACTGAAGAATGGAGGTATGAGAACTCTAGGTTTATGAAGGATCTTTGGTAGATAAAAATTATGAAAAATTCAAATAAAAGAAAATGTAAATGTAAATAATGATTTTTAGGATTTTTAAGAAAAAGGGTACGCTTTGAAATGTTGTAAAAAAACAACAGATTCAATCATGGTTTTTTCTTTGAAGAAGAATCGAAGAATTTTTTTTTTCTTGGTAAAGATTTGAACTATGAAGAAATTAATTGAATGTTTTTTTTTTCTTATGAGTTTTGCGGAGGCTTTTGACAGGTAGGAGGGTTTCGAAATGGGAGAAAAACATATAAAGGGTTGGAGGTGGGGTGGAGATGGGGGTGGGGGACTTGTAAAGTAAATCTGTTAACTAGGAAAGTGATATGATTAAATAGATTGTCTAAATTAGTAGATTATCTCAATACTATGATATAACGATACTCAACTACTGGCACATATCTAATAAAGCCATGTTTTTCTTCTTTTATAATAAGAAGGTCACTCAACTTTGTTTATATATCTTCAGAAGTCACTCTATTAATATTTGAATGAGTAGAATATGATATGAAAGTATATTTAATTAATATGATCTTTATTTTCAATCTACACTACAATAATTAATGACTCGACCTTATCCTAATTCGTAACTTAAATTAACCGTATTTACTCGGAAAAAATCATGAGGGAAACTTTAATTTTTTTTCTCACCAAAACTTATGGCATGTGTATACTTGTTTGATGTAAATATCAGTGGATACTTTTACCAAATGTACAACTTCATAACTGCTTATCTTTTTGTCAGCGTAGAGTATCCATTTCATAGAATCCAATATATTTTATTCTATAGATGCATTTATATGAATCAATATTTTCTATTTTTATATAATTTATAATTAATTTTTATTCCTAAAAATAAATACTACTCCTATAAAATATATAAGTTATTGCAATTTCTTATTTACTTATTTATTTATGGTATCGTTAAGATTGGATTAGACTGTGGTTTATTATTTCATGGATTAAAAAAGGAAAAAGTTCATGTGAACAAAACAAATTTCATGCTTATTAATTTGAGAAAAAATAGAGGTGGTAATCACTGATAATTTTCTATCTATGTTCTCTGAAATTAACATTATCAGGTTTTTCATTGGCATAATTAATTTCTCAAGGTTTGTTAATCTTTCTAAAGTATTGAGCATTGTTATTTTGTGTTTGAGTTTATAAATTTTAGGACCCTCAACTATTTAATTCTCGTCTCTCTCTCTCACACACATCGTACTATATATATATATATATATATATATTAAATTTGATTATAAATATATATAATTAATAAATTAACAGAAAGAAAATTGAGCTCCAGTTTAAAGATTTGTCTATGTATTTGACCTAGTTGAATTCTCTCTCACACACATCATCCAAAAAATTTGATTTGATTTGATTTTTTCTTAAATTATTTAGTAAAATTAAAAATATAACCTAATTATTTAATACTATTGTAAATTTACTAGTCTTTGATAAATGTATTGCGCATGTATCTCTATTAAAATTTATAGAAATATCATTTTTATTGCATATGCTGCGAATACACGATATAATTGAACGTAGAAGAGTAATTATTGATTTTAATAAAACGTCAAACTTATCAAATTCGTGATGGATTATATAAAGTCCATATGAAAGTATAGTAAGGTTGGAAAATCATGCAATGCAATGAATTTTACTAAGACAATTCATAACAATATCGAAAGGACTACTTATCTTAAATAAAATAATTGGTCAAGCTTTTAATTGAAATTTTGATTAATTTTGCTCCATGTTATCCTTATTCTATGTTTATTAAGATCTTAACAGGAAGCAGTTAGACAAGGGAATCTAATTGAGTTCTTGGTTTTTTATGCTTAGATGTTTCTAACTTGACTTATTTGATTACTACAAGGATGAACCTAATCCGAAATATGATTATATAAATCACAAAAGAAATTATATATTAAATAGATCACATGAATATTAGTTATAGTATGAATTATTCAAAAAGAAATCCTCCCAATAGTATTTTCCATTTATCCCCCTTTGTCCCCAGTCTTTATCTAATGGTTATGTTAGACACATAAACATTCATTGATAATTAAGTTATAAGATTCTTTCAAAATGAGCTACGAGAATATTTCTTTTTTTTTTAATTAAAGAAATAATTGAAAAATAAAACAATAAGCTCAAAATAAATAATAACCCTACTTTTGTGAAGATAGATAATGTTCTCAATTGACCCTCAGTTGAACGACCAGTGACATATTTCTGATTTTACCTCCTATCATAGAAATTAAAATTTATGACTACAATAATAGACCCAAAAAGGTAACAAGAAAAACACTATTTTCTACTTAAAACAATAAGGATTATTCTATAGAAAAATATTTACATATAGAAAAAATATACAACTTCATGAATAAAACTTTGACAATAAATTTTAGAAAAGTAGCAATTATAGAATAAATAAATATTCACGTCATTCGGTCTGAATGCTACATGAAGAACATAAGCCAGATGATGGAACGGGAAGACCTAGGATGTAGAAGATCATAT